ATTTTCTTTCGAAGTTTCAATATCGTGTTCCGTTTTGTAAGCTTTCATTTCTATAGGTATAGGAGGTTATGTACTGATGCAACGAAATACCTATATTGGAACGGTATAATGAAATAAAATAAATTTAGAATATGTCATTACTGATTTACGGGATTTCAATGCTTATTATGTTGCATCTTGAATAATTATTGAATTGATCTACCACATAATATAATTATGCATATTGTATAATATATATAATTCCAWACAATAAATTATAATATGTTTTTGGTTATTAAAAAAACAATAAAATTCTGAATATATTATAGCATACATTTATGTACTCATCTATTTACTATTGTAGTAAAGGAATTTTTATTATAAGTTTCTATACTCCCCATTAATTTTGTAATTTTATCAACCTGGTTTTATCGTTTATTGGTTTTACACCAATAATATATACATTGAGCATAGATGATAAGTAAATGTACTCGTATTGTTTATTGATCTTATATCTGTATTTTATCAATATACTTCCATTATTCTAAATGAGGTACATTTTGGTGATATTTTAATTTATGGTATTTAKGCGGTGAATCTCTTTGTTTTATAATTTAAATCCGTGTATGCTTAATTGTTCAATCAATAATATTACAATTGATTAACTCCCAACGCTTCCATCTAATTCAGTTTTATCCTTTGTTGAGGGTGGTATAGGTCCCATCAGTATTTTAACAGTTATTCACTTTATTATTAATCCAAGCTAATTATGTATCTCCCAATACGCACTATTCTTATTTCTTATAAGTTCCTCTAAGAAGGCATGTTTTTATTATATTACTTAACTCGGATAATTTTAACTCTCTTACATGAATTATTTCTCTTTATAAGTCGTTGATTCAGTCTGTATTAAAATACGGGATAACTGTCTGGTCACCTATTTTATCTGATATTAGACACATCAATTGTGTAATATGATTTCTGAGTTTAACAATTTTTTCTCTTAATATCTTACATCCATATCATGATTGAAATCCAAACGCTTATTTGCATGATATTAACTCATAAGAAATGATATGTGAACATTTTGTATTGCTATTTTAACCCATTGATTTGTGCGAAGTCAACATAGACAGAATCCTATGACCTATTTCAAGCTATTGTACATACATTTATTTATTTTTTTAATTTTTAGTCAATACCTCCTTTAATTTCAATTTTAATTCACTCAATTGTGTGGATTTTTTTCTATAGAGGCCAATATTTTCATTCCTTTTCATTTGTTAAAGACTCTTATTTATATTTTACCTAGGTTAATTCATAATAATTGTCATTGTACAAACAAAAAAATTTATATATATATATATATATATATATATATTATTTGTCAAGAAAAGCTTAAAAATAAATCTAGTGGTGCGGTGTAGCACGGTCGTAACGCTCAACTGCRGAAAGGATCTGAGTGTATGTAACGACCTGCAGTGTTGCTTGCTGCCGGATGGGTGACCAATCGAGATATTAGCAACAAATCCTTGCTACAAATACAAAATGTTTTCCGGCCAACCGTTCCCTGCCACAAAGTACTAGGCTAATGACCTTAGTAATTGAATCCTTAATTCTAATAAAAAAAATAAATGTTGATAATTATTAGGTATAATGTATAATATTAACTCTATATAGAATGTTAATATATTGAGGAAAACATTTTTTTTTTTTTATTAGTTAATTAGTAATGATTCATGTATCAGAAATTCCTGTTAATTGGGTTTGTTTTATAATCTGTCAGGTGTATAGGCTGAATTCTACTATAGTTAATACTTACACATTATATTATTATTATTATATGTACTTGATCTCTCCACAATACTATACAATTTATGAAATTAATAACAAAAAGGAAGTATGAAATTACTTTGATGTATAGCACATTCTGTATATATTTCATCATTGAGTAGGTAACTTAAATTAATATATTATTACATTTGAATTTAATGATAGATAGTTAAATACAAAAAGCGATTCTGAGTGGGTACGATGCACCCAAAACTACGACTAAAGATATTTTAAAATTATCAATTTATATTATGTATACTATGAGTAATTATTTTTCTATGAGTAACACAGTAATAGTTTACCTAATTAATTTTATTCAAAATCATACAACATGTGGTAAAATATATTTATAATCTAATAAATAATATAAACATACCTCAATACCTTAATTTTTTTCTAAAAATGTTAAAAAAATTACGCATTTATACGAAATAATATTGTAAAATTGTTACCAGATAAATTGAGCCGGCGGTGGTGGCGCTTTTTGGTAGGTGTATCCCAATCTAGTCCTGATGTGTTTCAACCRCGCGGCGTGCCTCAGTCGCGTCACCAATTTGTTTATTRTAAATGTATAAAAATAAATATCTCGACTGACATTCAAGTACAGAGACCCGATGGTTGTTCGTTATCGTTCCAACCAACGTGATATTAAAAAATTTTCGGCTCCCCATGAATATTATTTTTTGGTCAACCTTTTCAGTAGATATCTACCAAATACAAAATTAACTAATAACCTAGTAAGTCCAGTTAAAAATAATATTTTTGATAAATAAAAATTCTCTACTGCATTGAATACAAATAACTTTTCCTTTTTTATTATTAATATATTGTGCAGTTAACCTCCTGAATTAGTACTAATATAATTTATTAACAACAAAACATGAAATAAATCATATGTTCGTCAGTTGGTACGGCTGAAATTTTAATTATGACGCGAATCCTAGTAAATGTACAGTATTTTGTCAACATTTAAACTTGAATAAAATAAAACAGTATTTTAATGATTTTTATAACGTTTAGTTAACAACTTATAAAGGATGCTGCATTTAAAGTTARATAAGTAAAGTATAGAATTTCTGGTAACCCACAAAATATTATTCTACTCCTACACTCATTAAAACTATAAATACTTACATTTAGTTAACTATACTTACAAATACAAAAATGGATTTCTACAAATTGAAATACTAGGAAATATATTATTATTATTAAATATTATTCATGAAAAAATAAAATTGAAATTATTGTCTATCAAATAGGTTGAAAACTTGAAACATGAGAGAAAAAGTATCAAGAATGAAATGTTATTTAAAAAAAAAAAAWAATGATATCATARTCAAAATAATGAGYCTCCTACAGTCCTACGTTAAAATAATGCACCTTGTATTATCACATTATTATTATGAATTAAAATTAAATTATTTTCCAATAATTCATTCAATAGAATGTAATTTGATGGTTGAATGTAATAATACAATAATATCAAATACTATTATTATTAAATTAAAAATTAAATTTTACAAATTTTAAAATATTACTTATCACGTATATTTAAGATATTTTGTTTCAACTTAATTTATTATTATTATTATTATTATTATAACATTGGTTATGAAAAAAATAAAGATAACACTGTATCTAAGATTAATGAGGTTAAGTTAGGTGAGCATAAGTTCAGCACCCTCATTTCCATAAAAAAATCATGGGTACACATCTGATATTTTCACTTGTATAGGTATAATAATATAAATATATGGTTTACACTTTTGCAGTAAAGACGGCAGCAAAATTAATAATCACTTCTAATACGATCATGTATGTTGCTTTCCATCAGGTAAATCTACAGCAGTGGACACGGACGAGATAATTCACTCGCACATGAGGAAGACATTCGCGTTGCAGTGATCGACGCCAGTCGGCCGACTGCCGCCGTCACCACCGCCGGCGCCTCCTATATACCGTCATGTTAATAATGGCGATGACAACAACGATGACGACAACAACGGCGATGACGGCGATCGCAATCTGGTGCGTGGCAGCCGTGATGGGCGCCGCCGGTGGTCTGGTGTTGGACGGCACGTACGGCCAGTTCCGGAAGTGGAACGCGGGTGTCAACGGCACACTTGAGATGGAGTTCAAGACAAGGTCACCGAACGGGCTGCTCATGTACACAGACGATGGCGGAACGTATGACTTTTTCGAGCTGAAAATGGTAGAGGGCACCTTGCGGCTACGATACAACCTGGGTGCCGGTGCCCAAATATTGATGGCCGGCCACGACTTGTACGACGGCCGGTGGCATCGTGCGGCCATCGAGCGCCGCGGGCGCGTCACCACCCTGGCCGTGGACAACGCGACCAGCGCGGCCGCGTCCGCCGGCAAGGAGCTGCAGTTCGGCCGGTTGGCGTCTAACTCGCCAGTGTACGTGGGCGGTATGCCCGGCTGGTACAACGGTCGGCTCACCCGGCTCGCCTTGCCAAGTGTCATATTCGAGCCCCGGTTCAGCGGCGCGGTCCGCAACATTGTSTACACCGACGACTTTTACCCGTATCCTAGGCGACAGACCGCCATCACCGACCCAGTCCGACAGCCAAAGGTCAGTGAAATTCCATATTATCACCATATCACCATTATGATTACAATACGCATACATATGTCAGGTTACATCTGTATGAACAATCACGAAGCATTTAATGAATTACTATTGAGTAATGAGCTGTTAAACACGTTTTATAAACCCATGATTGGTCCATTCAATTTTATTGAACTATTACATTAATCTAAATTTTTCATGCATCCCGGTACTAGGRCTATATTAAATACATGAAAAAGAAAATTTTTTAAATATACTTTAACAATCCCATTTACGTAAAAAATAATATTTTTAAGATACACAATTATTCAATATTGTACATACTTTACTTTTAGTCAATATACACTAGTTTCGTGGAAAAGGATAGTACTTCATTTTTTATGTTTATATCTGAGTGCGCAACKGTTTCTAAATTTTATATTTTGTCAACACTCACCGAAGGTATCCAAGTATGATTAATAATCTGACAAGTAAGATATAATTACCTATTAATAAGATATAAAGGATATAATTCAGATCATTATAAAAATATCCAACGTTTCTTACCAAAAAAATGAAAAATAAAAGTAGCAATACCTTAGATATTCTGTCATCAAGTTTTATTTATCATTAAGTAATACAAATAAAATGTAATAAAAAAATAGAGTATTAATTAGATAAGTAGGTACTTACTTAAAATTAGTATTTTAAAAGATTTTTTTAGTAACAAAAATGTTTTTTTTTAATATACAGTAAAATGTTTTAAAAACAAAATAGACTTTAAAAAAAAAAAAACTATTTTACATTAAAATTCATATCTTGTATAAACACAACTATAAATGGTTTAAAAATATTGATATTTTGTTATGCACTTACATTATCTCTGTTCATAATTTACAATTGTTCGTATAAAATGATTTATTATTGAATTTAAATTGAACACATCTATTACAGTGACCTACTAAATAAGAGCACTGATTAACCTACCAAATTTTCTTCGTATTTTATAATATTTTTATATTATTTATCTTTTTAACAGTCAAAGTTTAAATAGATGCTCATACCTACATTTTTATGTAATTAAATGAAAACAATTTTATAACAGTTGAGAAGAAATTGAAGATTACTATTGTATAGTTGTATGAATATTATGGGTTCGTTATATAAGGTAGCTATATAAGATAGTACATGGTGTTAACTAGTATTTTAATTAAAAGTGTTAATAGACATTAACATGTTTTTTTTTTTTAAATTACGATTTTCATTTAATCGATATAACTTATGCCAGTGTAAAATTGTATACCTACATTAACTGTATTATTGTAATATTTAACCATTATACATATTTTTAATTTAAATGTAAAATGGATACTTGAGTAAATTTAAAAAAAATAAAACTTTAAGTCATTGATTCTGTAGTTTTATTGATTAGTTAACTGCATAGTTATTACAATATGGTTTGCTTTATAAAAGCTTTGAAAATTCAATATGTTTTAAATGAAATGAAATATATCAACAAACAATTTTAAAATACAAAATTATGATACGTTATTTACAATTGCGTACATAATGATCGATTATAAATATAAATTTGTATTGCTAAATATTTGTTATTCAAGCGACGACAGCAAAATATTCTAGTTAATCGATGAATTAACGTAAGTTCTTATAACAAATATAGATTAATTACCTAAAAATATAGTAACTACAGTAACAATTACCTACACCTATTTACAAGGTATATTATGTATTATGTAAATTCTAAACATAAACCAAAAATATTTTTATTTATATGTAGTGCATTGGATAATATAATTAATATAATTTTCGTCACCACTCAYAAAAATGTATTATGATCATTTCGTTAATTTCAATTTATTTTATCATGTAGATAGAAACTTTTAGATATAAACTATGGTTAATAACCAAATGGTGCTACTTAAATAAATATCAAATAACAAATATGTAATTTTGATCAATTTAACAATTTTTAACTCTAGATTTTTCTTAAATAATTGATTTACATGGTAGGATTTGAGCTTGGACTGTAAAGCATTGACCATTACCATTAACCTGTGTGTACCAAAAAGTGGATTTTTCAATTCGTACCTGGTATGCAAAGATTCACCCCTCCAAAAATTGGTGTGCTTATTACAGACTTGATAGTATAAAAAAAGTCATATTGAGAAGGTACCAATCAATTTAATGAACCCACTGTCAACTAATTGAAAAAAAGACACCCACTATAATATTATACTCSTAATATAAAATTTGTTTTGAAATTAAATACGTTTAAATAAATTTAAAAAAAGTAATATCGAATCAGATTGAGAATAAGAAGGAAAACAGAAAAAAATAAGGTTAGTTTTGGACATTGAAAAAAAAACCATTTATTATCTAAATCAACAAACAATTTAAGTAAAAAAAAACACATTTAATRAATGATGATCTACGCTCGGCATGGAGAAATTCAAGCAAGCGGCTAAGAAATGATAGCCCTGGAAAGATAGTTTTTGTTGCATTACTGAAGTTCTGGTGATAACTAGTTATCTAGAAAGATTTAATTTTTTTATGGACTTTATGGTAAACGGAAGTACAAAGACCATGCAGAAAAAATTATRAAAATATGTGATGACTATCATAATAGGAGTAAATTAGACATTCTTAAAGGAATAGCCCATAATTTTCAACTCCAACTTTAAATAAAATTAACTTTAAATAAATTAAAATGTATAATTATAAATATTATTATTATTTATTTATTTATATATTATAATTTTAAATTTAATTAACTGTGAGAAACTTTAAAAACATAAAACTTGGAAATATACCTAATATTATTGAACGGGCCGGGTACGGACAATAATAGGGCGTGATGCCCGGTCACCAAATACTTCGTACGCCGTAATGCCCGTATATTTATACTCACACACCGACCGACCGGTGTAGATTGTGTGTAAATAGGTATAACGACTCAATAGAAGTGGACGGGTTCGCCGAGCAAAACTAAAGAGTTTAGTGTGCGGTGGATGTGTAAGTGTGTATTTGTGTGGGTGTGTGCTTAAAACTAAAAATAAAATGGTAACACGGTTGTTGGTAGAATAGATTGCTGTATAACACACAGATTCAAAAATAATACACAATATAAAATAATAGTACACAGCAACCGAAGGSTATAAAAAGGTATAATAATATGGCCCTCCTGGCCCAACAGAGTAATGTATAATAATGTACGGCCCTCCTGGCCAAACAGATAAAAATAATAATATAAAAACTCGGCCCTTGTGGCCAAACAGACAAAGGTATAATATAAGTAATTGCGCGGCCCTTCTGGCACGACAGAATAATAATAAATAAATAATAATATAATATAAAAACTCACAGTTAAGTCGGAGCACTGCTGGCCAGCAGCTACCTGTGCTTAGGAGATTATAAGAACATTCACAATAATAATAATATGTATAACAATTAATAAATAATACGGCGATTCGCGTCGTAACAATATATAAAAAAGGCGATTTGCGTCGTTACAATAATAATAAAAAGAAAGTCGATTCGCGGCGTTACAATAGTATATTATATTTTATTCGCACGCTGTGTTGGAAGAGGTACGGTACACAACTAAAATGTCACGGCGGCCGTGTTAATTAAGTCGGCACAGGTGAACCGGTGGTAACCGATAACGCATTTACTTAATCTGCTTATTATTATTTAATAATTCACAACGACGACATAATTAATACAAAAATAACGAGGATGTGCTGTGCCTATGCGTG